CACTGACAGAAGAGGTGGTCGGAATCGGAAGAAAACTACAAATCTCTGTGACCAGATTAAGCAACTTTGGGTACAGGGAGAAGATGGATGGTGACTTCAGTCGGCAGCTCGACTCCAGAAAGCCTCTACGTCATTGGTCGTGGCCGCGCTGAAGCCCGTGTTTCACGACCGATGTCTTCTCACACAAGTAACTCAGTTCGATATATGCCTCTGTTGGCCCGGCAGTGAATGAGTGTCCAGTAGGATCGTAATGTGTCTACGAACTTTTAGCGCGAGACAGGCAACTTGGGTTGCATACTCTCAAGGGAGCTGAGAATGACAAGTGCGTGGATATTGATCCAGTGGTAATAGTGTACCACTTTACGTATGCTCTAGGGTGTGGATCTGGCGCATTATGTTACCCGACATTGTTATTACTAAACTCTTTATATGACAACAATGCCTCACACAGATATCAGAATCTCTGACACGCCTACATATCACTGTCACACCCACAGTCCAAGCTCTGTCTGACACCAAAGTAAAATCCCTGTCTGAGCTCTCCGTCACACGAATGTCACACAGATATCATTCCGCCTCAGAAATGTCATTCTGTGTGACACCAATGTAACACTATTACACCAACATATTTATGTTACACCAGCATCACTCTTTGTTGTACACTGTCGCACCAATATAGCACTCCCTGTCACACCAATATCGCACTCCCTGTCACACCAATATCGCACTCCCTGCCACACCAATCGCGCACTCGTCACGCCAATATCGCACTCGCTGTCACGCCAATATCGCACTCCCTGTCACACCAATATCGCACTCGCTGTCACGCCAGTATCGCACTCGCTGTCACGCTAATATCGCACTCGCTGTTCACCAATATCGCGCTCGCTATCAGGCCAGTGTCGCACTCACCGTCACACCAATATCGCGCTCGCCTTCACGTCAATATCGCACTCGCCTCCACACCAATATCGCACTCGCCTTCACGTCAATATCGCGCTCGCCTCCACATCAATATTGCACTCGCCTTCACATCAATATCGCGCTCGCCTTCACACCAATATCGCACTCGCCTTCACACTAATATTGCACTCGCCTTCACACCCATATCGCACTCGCCTTTACTCCAATATTGCACTCGCCTTCACGTCAATATCGCACTCGCCTTCACATCAATATCGCACTCGCCTCCACACCAATATCGCGCTCGCCTTCACACCAATATCGCGCTCGCCTTCACATCAATATCGCACTCGCCTTTACATCAATATTGTACTCGCCTTCACATCAATATCGCACTCGCCTTCACACCAATATCGCACTCGCCTTCACACCAATATCGCACTCGCCTTCACATCAATATCGCGCTCGCCTTCACGTCAATATCGCACTCGCCTCCACACCAATATCGCACTCGCCTTCACACCAGCATTGCACTCGCCTTCACACCAATATCGCATTCGCCTTCACACCAATATCGCACTCGCCTTCGCATCAATATCGCGCTCGCCTTCACACCAATATTGCACTCGCCTTCACATCAATATCGCATTCGCCTTCACACCAATATCGCACTCGCCTTCACATCAATATCGCGCTCGCCTTCACACCAATATTGCACTCGCCTTCACATCAGGTACCTCACATCAATATCGCACTCGCCTTCACATCAATATCGCGCTCGCTTTCACACCAATATCGCGCTCGCTTTCCGCAATGTCGCGCTCGCCTTCACACCAATATCGCGCTCGCCTTCACACCAATATCGCACTCGCCTTCACGTCAATATCGCACTCGCCTTCACATCAATATCGCGCTCGCCTTCACACCAATGTCGCACTCGCCTTCACGTCAATATCGCACTCGCCTTCACATCAAAATCACACTCGCCTTTACTCCAATATTGCACTCGCCTCCACGTCAATATCGCTCTCGCCTTCACATCAATATCACGCTCGCTTTCCCACCAATGTCGCGCTCGCCTTCACACCAATATCGCACTCGCCTTCACACCAATATCGCACTCGCCTTCACGTCAATATTGCACTCGCCTTCCCATCAATATCGCGCTCGCCTTCACACCAATGTCGCACTTGCCTTCACACCAATATCGCGCTCGCCTTCACACCAATATCGCACTCGCCTTCACGTCAATATCGCACTCGCCTTCACATCAATATCGCGCTCGCCTTCACACCAATGTCGCACTCGCCTTCACGTCAATATCGCACTCGCCTTCACATCAATATCACACTCGCCTTTACTCCAATATTGCACTCGCCTCCACGTCAATATCGCTCTCGCCTTCACATCAATATCACGCTCGCTTTCCAACCAATGTCGCGCTCGCCTTCACACCAATATCGCACTCGCCTTCACACCAATATCGCACTCGCCTTCACGTCAATATTGCACTCGCCTTCCCATCAATATCGCGCTCGCCTTCACACCAATGTCGCACTTGCCTTCACGTCAATATCGCACTCGCCTTCACATCAATATCACACTCGCCTTTACTCCAATATTGCACTCGCCTTCACGTAAATATCGCACTCGCCTTCACATCAATATCACGCTCGCCTTCACACCAATGTCGCACTCGCCTTCACATCAATATCGCGCACGCCTTCACACCAATGTCGCGCTCGCCTTCACGTCAATATCGCACTCGCCTTCACATCAATATCACACTCGCCTTTACTCCAATATTGCACTCGCCTTCACGTCAATATCGCACTCGCCTTCACATCAATATCGCACTCGCCTTCACATCAATAACGCACTCTAGTCAGGCCAGTATCGCACTCTCTGTCACAGCAATAGCAACACATATCGCACTTGACTGCTGGCAACACTCACTTCCAGTCATAGAATCAAGTGTGGCTTGCGTCATCCGATCCAAGGATCTTTACAATCCCCGCTTCATGTTACCATCAGCCATTTGAGAGTGTCAATATCGGGTTTATTTCGAAGAACATTACCAGCACAATTACTTGCATTATGGGTTCCACCTGATCCGTCATCCCTACGCAGCTTATTCACTAGCACTTATAGTTAGATATCCCATTAATGAGTAATAACGTAATATTCTCTTTATTGTGCCATACCTTGATGCATTAATTAAATTAAATACATTAACATGAATAGACTGATTTTCTTAAAGTATGACAACCGTATATAACCTGAACACCAACGAGAAAGTGGTTGTAACTGGTGGCCTCCCGCTTCTGGGTCTGTCTCTAGTTGTGCCAGTATTCTGGAATCGCTGACGCAGCCTTAGAATGGTGAGGCGATGACACCCGAGTGCAGCAGCCACTTCCCGATCAGTCGACCCAGTCTGCAGCATTCCAATGGCCCTCTCCCGCTCTTCTGCTGTTAATCTCGGCATTTTAGTTAATGTATGGTGTGAAATGATACATCTAGGGGCCTTATATACCCGTTTCCAACAGTTTTCACGTGCATTTCATGCAAGGTGAAGTTACAATGGGTACGTTTTGGCGTTATGCTTCCTTATACAAGGACAGAAATAGGCAAAATTTTACAGTATCTAAGGGAAAAATTAGTCTTTTCTCGTTTGACGACTCTTCCTAAAACAGTCGAAAGTCATGATGATCCAAAAATTTAACCTCAAGTGGTTGTAATGTGTTTTAAAGAGACAAAAAATCCAATTTCAGCATTGGGTCCCTTTTTACGGTAAACAACCATTCTTTCATATCCAAAACCCAACTTTATCACTCTTTGTGAATGTGCATGCATTATCATCATAAACAATATCATTTGGACCCATTTTTAACTGTTTTTTTTACACTTTTGATTTGAATTTTTACATGATTGAAAATAGGACAATGGACCCCACCTAAACAAACATGTCGATATCCTAATTATCAATGACTTCCTCAGTCTGATGTTTTGACTCAATAGAGTTACATGATTGGTTGTTAAAACATACCAAACCAAAGTCTTCTATCCATATAACATTTTAGGATATTCTAATGTTCAGAGGTGTAACGTTTCTTTTGGCGTTCAGTTTTTATTTGAAGATTCCGTCGGTCCTAAATAGTTCACAAACGAACGTAACCTCCGCATGGCACTTTTAATTCTATCAAACTAATATCACATGTGGGTCTTATGTAAACATTATGTCAATATTCCATTGTTCGAAAATACACCAATGCTAAACTACCTACAGCGGTAGTAACATTACTGTTACCTGGTCCGGGGACGGTTTACTCTGCTGCTCCATTCCGTAGCACGACTGGGCCCAAATGACTTCAGTGGTGAGAAGTTTTTATCGTGGTTTCATGTCAAATGTGAAATTCAAATCACGTTGACGCGTAAAGTCTCTAAAGGTTGAACAAATAGTTGTTTGATTACTGGATTTAATACACTGAGACTATTAGCTTGCTGACTGGGACGTCCAAATTGCCAGCTCCTTATTCATATTGATTTGATCACCATCTACGAATATGTCCGTCTTTATGGCCTGTATTACGGGCAGCACTCAAACCAATATTTGCAAGGAAAAAACTGTCGATAATTAATCTTCCAACCATTCCCAAAAATAATAAAACTCCATATGATATGATTAATATATGGGCTGTAAACACTTTCTATCACCGACCACTGCTTGAAAAGGGATATTAGTACTACTTTTTTGTCCTTCGGGGAAATATTCACCACTAATAACTTCTTATTGTCCAATATCAAACTCTAGGCTTTTAAGCCAATTTGTTGATCAAGTAATGTGACAATTTTCCGAACTCAATCTGAAGATATTTGTAACATTACTTTACGACATGAATTTATCGAATGCAATCAGAACTCTCTGTGCGCTGTGCCGGCCGGAATTCAGCATTCCCATCGCACGTTCAGAGGCTGAAATCAGTCTATTGGATAGGCATTAACATCGTGACTCGCTACTGTACAGTACTCCAACACGGAGGAAGAACCCACCGCCGTGAGCGCGTGTAGACCCAGAGCGGGAGGAGGCAGGCGTGATACCGGTTGCATACCACTCTCACACAGCACTGGGCGGCAGCTGATTCGTGGTTGGGATAATTGGAAAAAAATCAATAAAGAGGAGCTTTTAAAACCAGATGCTCGAACTTCCACTCGACTGACTAACTCTGGCAACGGGGGCATCATGAACGGGAATGTGACAGTCACGAGTCTCACCCTCCTCATGGGGACAGAAGTGCCAACTAAGGACAGTTATACCATCTTGGGGGGAAATGTATCGGACAACGATACACGCCCATCTCCTGTCCCCAGTAGTCCTGAGTATCTCCTGGCTTGGGTGACTGTGGCTAATGTGCTGGTTTTCATTACGGGTGTGTTCGGGAATACTCTGGTTATCATCGTCGTGTCCAGGGTGCGAGAGATGAAGACAGCCACCAACTTCTGTCTTATGAACCTCAGTATTGCAGACCTGCTAGTTCTGTTGATCTGCCAACCTGCCGCATTGCTGGAGTTTTTCTGCTATGAGAAGTGGATGCTGGGTGACTTCATGTGTAAGTAAAACCTGGGTTAAAGTGGTTCATGTCATTAACACAAGCGGGACAAGCATAAGTATTTAAACTTATGATGTCCAATAAAAAATGAAAAGCCTGTTATATTTGGTTTTGATAAATATATACTCATCAGCAAAAGTAAGTGACGACGACGAACCTTAAAAACAAAGCTTAAAGCTATTAACAGCATAACGAAGATGGACTTGAGTTTAATTTAATTTAAGAAAACGTGATTGTTTTATACTTTTGATGACTTTGATGTTGTTTTAAATGGATGGACACCATATCTGTGTTTTGTTCGTGCAAAGCGATACAGTTAAGGCTTCTGTTGGCATCAGTTTGATAACCGCCCCTGTAACTGTATGAATAGTTCCAATTTCAAAAGATAACTTAACATATGAAAACGTAATCACGAAGTTGTGCCATGCTCAATGTGTCGCTATACACTGAAAAGCATACGTTTCACTTTATGCAACAGGCAGATAGTTACATATTATCTCCTCAATTCATCAGTTCCCCAAAAGGTTACGCATCATGTACTCAGATTAAAGCCAAATAAGGCACTTCATTTAAGTTGTGGCAAACTTTAAAACAATCTAACATGCAGGATTGGTATCGAAATCTAGTTATCTACTTTGCAAAACTATTGTGCATTGTAATAAGTCAAAAGCGTAATTCACATGGGTACAATGTGTAAAGCCCATTTCTGGTGTCCCCCGCCGTGATATTGCTGTAATATTGCTAAAAGTGGCGTAAAACAATACTCACTCACTCACTCACTCACTCAAAAGCGTTAACATACAGTTTTTTTATAGGCTGTGGTCAGGAAACGTGTTACAAGGTGTAAGGGAACCTAGGGACAATGTAACAGGTGGTGTTTGTGTGGACACTCTCATATCATACGATGTATATCATGTTTGTTCCACATTTTAATGAAACGCTTGTTTATAGATACCTCACGATAAAGTTCCGACCCAATCATGAATGCGGCGTAATATTCATTTCAAATATGTGAAAACAAAATATTGCTTGCAATTAATTCGGCAAACAACAATTGTATATATTCAAAATACCCGGAGCAGTACACCATACATACAACTGAAACGAAGAGGCCCATACACCAAGCGCGCTATTTTCAAACTATGAAAATTGAACTTTCAAATTAACCCTGTCTGGCATCAATTCTTGCGTTCTTGTGTAAATTGTATTTCAAACCAAGTTATACTGGTCTGGTCGTCTTACTCTTAATATGTGCAGTATAATTTTGAGGATGAGTTGGATTAGAATAATTAAGAAAAATGACACTGTCATAGTCATGTAAGCTAAGCAATGTCTGGCTAAAGTTTATTTTTCGGTTTGAATATTTGATCTCATGTAAAGGTTTGTGCACAAGTAACTTACAACACCTCTCCCATGCAGTAAATGTTACCTTGTTTATTTTGTATCCATTGCCTGATTGAAATGAAAGTGAAGGAATACAGAAACTTATGTACATTGCCTTAATCGAACCTGTTCGTGTATATATGCAACCTGTACGAGTATGTACAATCCAAAACAAAATGTTCCTTCATTTACATCACAGTTATCAGTCACAATTAGCAAATATGAGGGCATCAGTTCGTTTCTAACTTATTTAAACTGACTTGCAATGGAAAATGGTATATGCCTCATTGGCATTTTGTATCTTCGCTTACACCTTTTCTGAGGTCATCAGTTTTAAGTCAATTCAACCCCGTCTTTTTCTTTATGTATTATGTTAATGTTTCAGAAACAATATGAGAAATATAATAGAACTGCAAAATTGTATGGTAAGCATGACTCGCACTGTTCAGTTACGCTTCTTAATGCATTATGGCAGCCCTTTTTGCACAATATTGACAATGAATGAAATAAGTCATCAACTTCATTTGCTAAAGCCTTCTATTAATGTGTTTGATTCATTTCTTTACAATGTATATTCGTACATGTACTTCTAATGGAGAGACTTCTGTCATATCACGTAAAAAGTTGGTCGGGAATATGGTAGACAGTTTGTCAAAGCTCGTCATACGTCCCCATAACTATATTCCTATCAAACGTCTTGTAGTTGAGAATATGCTTTGATAAACTCGGATGAAAGGCATTAGCTATTTACGACAGAGACAAGCAGGAGATGTAAAGTCGCTGAATATAGCAACTTGTATGCTGGATTACCCATTCAGCCTGCACTTTAACCCGACATATTATCTTGGTAATGAGTTCGGATAATTATCAAACGAATGTACCTGCAAAACCATTAAGCTTGAAATATAATACATGATGTATAACAATGGTGTCTTAAGTGAACGTCAATCACACTATGCATTGTGGTCATTAGCGACATAATCGTCAGCAACTCCAGACCAGGAAAACGTTATTCTAACAATTCGTTTTGTAAAAACACCACACATTCCCTTGGATTCCCTCCCACATTTGCGAGTTGGGGTAAAATGTTGTCTTATACGTTCATTTGAGTAGAAGTTAGATGTATTTGAGCCTCTGAAGCTAATTAAAATTGCGCGATGACTTTGGTCATTTAATATATTAATGAATTTCATATTCATATATATATTGACTGAGCTGTAGCATGAACACGTATTCTCAAAACCACTGTGTCACAAGCATCAGAACCACAGCCATGCATGATGATTACCAGGTAAAGGTGACAGCAACATCGGAAAAGTATACAAAAGTATAACATCTGTCGAAATGGCGACAGAACACTTCAATTTAGCAAGGACAACTACTCACGGCGGTCCACCGCCGTTTCCGCTGTTGTTACCGCTAAAGTGGATCCATAGAAAGTAGTCTTATTACCAAGTTCATTCGCTTAATTCACCCCTCACTTAGTCAATACCCCGCACAGTACTGGTGTACAAATGAGCAATTACTGGAAACCTACCATGCTATGTCGGAAAGCCGTGTAATGCTTATTGAGTGAATGGTATAGTTAAGTGCGGCCCGTGATTGACGGGGTCCAACACACTCTCCACACACTGAACATGAAAGCAATGCCTGTTTGCTTGATAGCAATATTTACAAATCTCCAAACAAAAATGACTCCCAGCATCAACGTGTGATAGGAACTTCTGAAGCAGTAGTTTCACCGCCCTCGCTTCCATGTTACTTAAATGCCGAAAAGATATTGCTTTCATGGCGCAAGTGTTCCTGCGCCAAACGATATCAGTCTGTTTTGCTAGTTACAGAAAGGATGTATTGTGTAGTTGTAAATGCTTGGCCATGTTTTATACTATTTGCGAATTTGGACCGTTCAGATATACTTCGTCGGCTTACGCAGTATGTATTTGACAGAACTCACCATGATACGCTCTGTGTTGACAACCGAAAACGTAAAATTCAGTGGTAACTGTCATTGACTGTAGGCTAGCAATGTAATTCACTAGGATCCTATTTACCGCTGATTCAATGGTAACGGACAATTTCTTCCTATACACTGTGGCAATTGCAATACCTTCCAACACACTGTGGCAATGACAATCCCTTCCCATACACTGTGGCAATACTAATCCTTTTACACACACTGTGGCAATAACAATCCCTTCCCATACACTGTGGCAATACTAATCCTTTTACACACACTGTGGCAATAACAATCCCTCCCAACACACGGTGGCAATTCCAATCCCTTCCAGCACACTGTGGCAATAACAATCCCTTCCCATACACTGTGGCAATACTAATCCTTTTACACACACTGTGGCAATAACAATCCCTCCCAACACACGGTGGCAATTCCAATCCCTTCCAGCACACTGTGGCAATAACAATCCCTTCCCATACACTGTGGCAATACCAATCCTTTTACACACACTGTGGCAATAACAATCCCTTCAAACACAGGGTGGCAATTGCAATCCCTTCCAGCACACTGTGGCAATAACAATTCCTTCCCATACACTGTGGCAATACCAATCCTTTTACACACACTGTGGCAATAACAATCCCTTCCCATACACTGTGGCAATCCTTCCAGCACACTGTGGCAATAATTCCCATACACAGAATCACGCCATTCCCACACTGTGGCAATTCCCATACACAGATCAGCCATTCCCACGCTTTGCCAAATCAAGATAGTGTTTCAGCTGTGTTCATCCTCTGACAAGCATGGTTTTCATTATTTCCTTATGTGTTTGCACTACAGAGTTGGGTGTTTTGGTATGTTTCAGGAAGCCCGGTGTTTCTTGTATTATTTCCTTATGTGTTTGCACTACAGAGTTGGGTGTTTTGGTATGTTTCAGGAAGCCCGGTGTTTCTTGTATTATTTCCTTATATGTGTTTGCACTACACATATATACAGAGTTGGGTGTTTTTGGTGTGTTTCAGGAAGCCCGGTGTTTCTTGTATTATTTCCTTATGTGTTTGCACTACAGAGTTGGGTGTTTTGGTGTGTTTCAGGAAGCCCGGTGTTTCTTGTATTATTTCCTTATGTGTTTGCACTACACATATACAGAGTTGGGTGTTTTGGTGTGTTTCAGGAAGCCCGGTGTATCTTGTATTATTTCCTTATGTGTTTGCACTACAGAGTTGGGTGTTTTGGTATGTTTCAGGAAGCCCGGTGTTTCTTGTATTATTTCCTTATGTGTTTGCACTACACATATACAGAGTTGGGTGTTTTGGTGTGTTTCAGGAAGCCCGGTGTTTCTTGTATTATTTCCTTATGTGTTTGCACTACAGAGTTGGGTGTTTTGGTGTGTTTCAGGGAGCCCGGTGTTTCTTGTATTATTTCCTTATGTGTTTGCACTACACATATACAGAGTTGGGTGTTTTGGTGTGTTTCAGGAAGCCCAGTGTATCTTGTATTATTTCCTTATGTGTTTGCACTACATTTATACATGAGTTTGGTGTTTTTTGGTGTGTTTCAGGAAGCCCGGTGTTTCTTGTATTATTTCCTTATGTGTTTGCACTACACATATACAGAGTTGGGTGTTTTGGTGTGTTTCAGGAAGCCCGGTGTTTCT